TGAAAATGGAGGTCTGGGATGAGAACAAGTGCAGCTCCTCTGGAGAATGTGGAAAGGCAGCCTGCAGAAAGGCATGTCTATACGTTGACCTGTCTGTTGTGAAAATAGGGAAGAAAGCCAATCATTCCCAATTCTGCAGACATTCTGACAGCTAAAGTAGGCATTAACAATTTGCAACACATGGCATGGGGGAAGAAAGTCTCTGAGCTCTACAACTGAGAGTTTCCTGGCTGAAATGAAGTAGCAGTTGAAGGTAGCTCAGAGAAAAAAAAAAAAATTATCATCCACTGTGTAGGGACAAAATGGATAACATTACCAAAAACTGGGGAAAAAATAATGTCACAACTCAAAAATAGTAACATGTTCTGGCTTCAAGACGGAATACTTCTGAAGTTTTTTGGCCTTTATACAAGGATTTTCCTAACAAAGAAGGATCAAGTTTTAGTATAGAGGTTTCTGCCAATATATCTGCTGTCGCTTTGAATGGACTTGGTACATAAAAATAATTTTGTTGCTAATATATTGATGCAGAACTAACAATTTTGGATTTTGATTGGCACAAGAGCTGGAAGAGTCTCACGGCGTTATCCTGTCAGACACAGGTTTCGCTGGACTTGCCTGCAGAGCCCCGCGCAGCCTCAGCCAGGCTGGTTGGGAAAAGGGTCGGGAGTACGAGCAGGGAGATTTGCACAGCCAAATCTTCGGGTGGTGAGAACTGTTGTTTCTTTAAAGGACTTAAATTGGGCTCTACTGATTTACACCAGAACTCCTTTGCAAAGTTAAAAAGTTGTTTTTCTTGCTTAGGCCTTCAGAGGGAGTGAAGATTATTTGTATGAATAATTCTGAACTAGAATAAGTTGAGACGGGGAAGTAGTAGATGAATGTTTTCAACAGTTGCTAATATAATTTACATGCATTAAAGATGTGGTCAGGTATATTTGGAGAGGCATCAAGTTTCTCTAAGATGAAAACCAGAGACAAAACACAGGAAAGAATGCCATTACTTAGAAATCTGAACAGCCGAGAGAAGGAAATACATATTTGAATTTTGATTATTTTTCAATCATTCTGTGTAATTGGTATAACAGCAAAGCCAATTAAGCAGGTTAAAAGTGAAATTGTATGATAAATGTGAAAACAATTTTGACTTTAATTTTGGAGACAGAAGCTAATATTATCTTCACCACTGCGGATCTGTGAAACGGTTTTCTTCACTATTTACACTGCTTGCTTTTGATTTGATTTCAATTAATAAAATAATTCTTAGTCATATACTCTCTGTTGATATAGTCATTGCTAAGTGTTGAACATAATGGGGACCTAGACAATGATAATTTAATTATAATTTTGGTAGTTGTGGGTAATAATAATAATTAATTGTGCTGTGGAAAGAAAAGATCCAAGGAGATACCTGATGATAATAAGGAAAGACCGCATTGTATCTGCAGCACCTCCATTGGTTTTGATGTGCAGGTTGGGTTTATTAAAGGTATTAATGTCTTGTCTTCGCTGTCTCTACACTAGCATTCCCTTTTCACATACATTTAGGTTATGGAGTTTCAATTAAAATAAAAAAAGAATTAAACCTTGGGCTCTGACACCACTGAAAAGTGCTACTTTTTGGGTGGGAAATTTGTACCAATGGCTATTTTTCATTGGTCTCACTACTATCAATGCTCTTCAACTGAGAGCAATTTTATATGTGCTCCTGCTGCTGTTGTCATAGTGTTTGCATCACTCCAGTGTCTACCGGACTCCTCTCTTTCCTTGGCATTGTCCATCTGTGAGAATTCACGGTTGAGAGACGCAGGTCCTGGGCAGACCTGCAGCAGGGGGGATGGTTAATCAGGGGTTGGGTGTCCCCCTGTACCGTTCCCCGTTAGTGACATGGAAGTAATGTGTGTACAAGAGCACTGCTGTGATCCTGCTCAGCCAGTGGAGATAAATTGTTATAATTGGGTGGTGAGGCAGGAGCTGGCGCTAGGTGTGACGGCAGAGACAAAGGGAACGGGAAATCGCCATACGGCGTCATATGCTCCTTCTCAAACTTAATTTTGATTGCAGCTGTCAGCGTGGCATTATGGTTCTTGAATGTGCTGTTTTATTGAGCTCAGTGTGTGGGAGAGATTTTTTTGAAACTGAAACAATGCTGGAAAATGATTGGCATAAGGTTAGCTTTAGACACATTGCAGTTCCTGAGATAGCTGCATAAGAAACAGCAATATTAACTTATTGACGAGGGGATTTTTGAATTAGTTAAAATTTGCATTTTTCATCCATGTCTTGTTCTAACTCTTATGCGAGTTAGAAGTGCTAGGAGATACAGTTGAGAGGGCATATGCCGTTAACGCTCGTTTCTTAAGCTCTCTAACAAGTACTCTGTTTTTCTCTCATCTGTTTAGTCTCCTTTAATGCCACAGTTGTGTTGTTTTACAGTATTAAGGATATTACAGTATACCAGTATACTTGTACTGGTTTGAAATGCGTTAGGAGAAAATGTTAAAGTAGTGCTGCAGGAGAAAGAAAATATACTGAAGTTAACAAAAGATACACCATTATCATAACCAGTGAGAACGGGGATTGCAATGGTTTCCTATGCTCTTTTACTGAAAACATTGTTTTGTGGAGGCATAAAAACATTACTATTGACCCCTCTGTCTGCAGCCATATATATTGCTCAGGATTGAGAGGGATGAATGTCCTGCCTGTATGCAGGTACCACAGATGAACTCTTCTTGCTTTAATTTGAACAAAACTCTTCAGAGTAATTCTGTGTATTTTTCTTCAAAGTTTATGTTATTTATTGTGTATTCTTTAGCCATTAATAGGGCTAATATTGGCTTAGAGTTACAAAGTGAAACTGTAGTGATTTTGGACACATAGTTCATAAATCAGTAGTTTTATGGCTATGCTAATGATTTTAATATACAAGTCTTTTAGCTGAACTTTTTTTGTTGCACATTCTACTAAACTTGAATGTTACCTTAGTTTTTTCTCTTGCATGAATTTATAAAACAAACAGAAATGTGTTGTGCTAGGCAACAGAGAAGTAAACTCGAACATACACATATATATAAAAACTTTCATGTAAAAATCATTTTAATAACACTACACCAAAATAATCATAGGTGCATGGTGACTCATTTTTGTGTATTCAGATAAGAACATGCTCTGAGCAGCCTTAGATTGAGATTTGTGAAATTATTTGAATCCATCTACTTACACGGCACATTTGAAAAGGTGAGATTTGCATTTGAAAAGGATGAATCAGAACTAAAAATAGATTAGATATAGAGATTCTTCCCCGTCCCAATGGTCTGGAGTCATTTACTGTAGCCATTAACATCTAACATGATTTCAGGTGAAGTGTTTCCTCAATAAACTTCAGTAATTTTTTTATTTAAGAAAAGGAGAAAGTAGGAGCAAAAGTGGAGTGTCAGAGAGGTGTCAGAGAGCTTTTTTGTTTGTTAAAGCCTTCATGCATACTTACACTGGTTCTAGATTGTTTATTATTATTATTATTTGCATTAATGAAAAAAAAAAAGTAGTTTGGGATGCAGTCCACCTAAATCTTGCCCAAATGGGGACTTTATTTCCTAAAACTTGTTTAAATCCCAGACAACAACAGCACAGTTTGAATACTTCCTAGGCCTGTCTAATCTTATTCCCAACTTTTGAAAGTATCTCCTCCTTAGGCTGAAAATTTGGTAACTATTAAAGTAATTTTTAGTTCTGCATGCTCAGAACTGTCTGCTTTCACAGAACGGACAAATCTCCCATTTAGACTTCTTTTTTAATTCTGGGCTTAAGTAAACAGACAATGAACCCCACTTCAATATGGTAGAAAAATCTGAAGAATACAGCCCTTTTTTTAATAGCCCACTGGATAAAGCACTCATCCAAGGAGTGAGGTGACCAAGTTCTGGGTTCTGCTGAGACTGATGATGCTTTAGCTGTATCCTCAGAGACTGCCTATACCAATGAATATGATGTTGACTGCAAATGGTGAAGTTTATAATGTGTGTATGAAATAGGGACTGAACCAGAAATCCCCCTTCCGAGGCTGATTCTAACAACAGATACGTCTCTTTCCATCTGGTGCTAGAGAGGATTTCTCTTTAGGTGGTTTCTTACAGGAAGATATTAGCAGGATAACCATATCTGGAACTTTTATCAGTATTCATTTGAGGGTTTTGTGGCGTTTTACTGCGCATGGCATAAAAGCAGAAATTCTCTTCAATTATGTGATATTTAGTTATTAGATAATTACAGATAATTGCATGGGCAAGTTCTATGAACTAAAGTGTTACTGTAACATCTAAAATCTACAAATCGGGTAACAATTATGTTTGGAGTTATATCATTATTGCAAGCATAATTACCATGAGATTGGCAGTGCATGTAATTAATGAGTAATCACTGGGATTTGCCTTCATAGTTGCACTTCCCCTTTTTGTAAAGTTCTTTGTCACAACATTTACGTATAAAGATAACGTAAATTGACCTCCACATGCGTTGTACTAAGGCTCAAAATACTTATTTCCACTACTGTACTAGCTCCTTAATGTCCTAAAAGTGTAGTTTCATGGAGAAAACAGAGAAGGGACAGTGTGCTGTGAATAGGGAAGAAGTGAAGCAACTTTTCAATAGATACCAGCTAGTGAGATAACTCTTTTCCATAGCTGTCCAAAGTAACCCTTTTTTATCTATTAAAGCTAGTTTGTAACCAGCTAAAATTCTGCTAAGAGTAAAGTCTTTCAAACTCTCCTCACATCATTTACTGTCTTCCTTCCATCGTAAGGAAAGTTTGATTAACAAAATTTCATACAGAAGAGCAGAATGTAGTTCACTCTTGGGTTCCAATTGAACAAGGCTTCTTTTGTCTTTTTTTTTAATATTGTTTATATAGGACACATTTTTGCCAAACTTTCAAGTTATTAAATAGTGGTTTTGCTTCTTTTTTGTTTGTTTGTTTGGTTGTTTTTTTCATTATTTATCAGGTTTTACCTGGCGAGATGATTATACACAGAATGTTATTGGTCAGGAACTCTCAACCATTCACAAAATCCACAACAGACGCCCTGATATATTTGCATCTGAAGGATCTGACACAGGAAGGTAAGTCTTCAATGGTGTTTTTGCCTGGTAAATTTTTGGGAGGTTTTGCAAATGATGAGAAATAGATTGGCACTGAAGCTGAATTAAACACATTACCAAAACCACTATCTATAAGGTAAAGGAAAATCAGTCGTACAACAGCACTGAAAACACCAGTAGGAAAACAGCAGACAGAATGAAAGAAAACCCTCAACCCTGTTCTTCTGATTATCATCAAGTTAAGAAAATATGCCTTCTATTGTTAATGTAGGTGTCAGAATTCAAAAGAACAGGTCTTTTATCCAGTTTATGCAGTGTCTAGTGTCGGTTCAGCCAGCTCTACTTAAGACTGCCTTGAAAAGGCAGACTTATACAGTAGCTCATCCACAGGAGACATTTTGTTCTAGAATAAGCCAACAAAAAGAAACAAAAAGAAGTATCGAATTACATTCTGAGCAACTAATTACATTTTCAAACTCATATTCTTCCAAAACATAGCTGTAACTGATTTGAAGTCCATAGATTCTCAGCTTTAGTTGCAAAATTTGTCCAGGAAGGAGAGATTCATGCAAGTTCCCATGTCAGAGAACAATGTTGGGATGTTTCTATCTATTCTTTGCATTATAGAAGCCATTTTCCTCATGGCTTGAAAGATATTCACAGGTGACTTAGCTGTTATTGGTGGAAAGACACACAACATCTATAATTCTGTAGAGTGATATGAATGTAGGACCTGCAATTATATCATCTTCACATACAGATACACATATAAATATACTCTTTTACCTGGTCTATTCTGTCCTACAGGCTTTTAAGTGCTTTCCAACCACACAAACCCCAGAAGGAAATTTTAAAATGCATAAAATTTTAGGAATGTTAAAAATGGTAAATTTTGCTTTCTCCTACATGATTTTAAGAAATGTAATCTCAAAATTAGTTAAATTGAAAGAAAGTGCTTTTTGTTAGAAAACTTTCTTCATAGCAGGACAAAGCTTGATCTTCTAGCCTTGGTGGGCAAGATATTGAATGTTGGACTTTAGATCTTCATATACGGCAGTATGTGGTTTGCATATACTGCAGAACCATTTTTTTTTCTAGATTGCTCTTTTATGGAAGTAAGTGCTGTGTAATTGATATGGCCCAGTGGCTTCAGCTGTGTTTGCCTGATTGTTTTGGTTTAATTCATAGAATTTGACCCTCTATTTCACATATTTGCTGATTCAAAAGCATTCCTTAAAATCACAGCACCATACATTTCAGGAGTGCAGTAAGGTAGAAGCTTAACTTCTAAAGAAGATACTGATCTATAGATTATCATAAAGGTGATAACAACATGTGGTTGAATCCATAAACATTTTCACTGCTTAGATACACGAAATGCCATTACTGTGTGGATTATTCTCTGTACATGGTATCAGAAGTGATTTTGAATATCTTCTGGGGGATTTTTTTTTTTTTTGGAATGAGTGTATCTAAAACTTTTATTCATGAGACTAAGATAAAATAGGCCAGATGTCCATGAGATCAAGACTGTATTCTGCAGTGTTCCAGATTCATAGTTATATAAAAATAAAATGTATAAGAAGAAATAAGAAATAATTTAGTTTTTAGACTGAGAACAGATGATCACTTTTAGGAGTTCCTGTTGTGATCAGGTTTGAGCTGTTTTGCATTTTTAACTAGAACTATATGGTAAAAAAAATAACCCATTTTGTGTATTGACACTTTAGGAACATCAGAATTTCAAATGTGTTCCACTTATAGCAGTTCCTATTGTGGATAGATTTTCTGAAGTTACCAAGCTGTGCTTCTGAAAGCATTATCTTATGTGCCAACAGTTTAAAGCATTAATTGATTTTTCTGGTTGTCCATTTGCAATATATTCTGTAGGTCAAAGAACAGTAGGAACTTTTTCTCTGGTGTCTTGTAAATTCTGATCAAGTTTGCTATGTGCTTAGTGTGCTCAATGCGCTTGCTAAAATCTTATCAGATAATAATTAAATAATTTAAAAAGCAACTTAGTGTAGGTATCTAATTATCAAAGAAACATTATGGCAGGAAGACCTTTTATTAAGGGTAACGTGTGTAATAAGACAATATGAAGTCATACTAATGAGTCATTAATCCCCACAGAGCTAGCGAGAGCAAGAAAATAGACTCAGACACTTGAAAGGTAAATTGACTTAGGCTAAATTAGTGCGTATGAAATCGGATGGAACAGAAGACATGGATTTCATCTTAAAAAAAATGCTGAAACTGGGAGCTTGATTTCAAGATGAAAGTTCTTTCTTTGGTGGCTAACTGGAGTGTACGTGGTATTTCCTGGGCCCTTATTAAATTTCAAAAAAACCCTACTCTTGAAAGAGGATCCAAGATAAAGGAAAAAAGTCCATTCTGCACACAGGGAATAAATGTCAGTTGTGTTCATTGGTGCAATTAGGCAAAACCACAAACGTTTCCAGCAAACTTCAATGTATGAAATGGGGTATAGCACTATTTCTGTAATAAAGCCATCATTAAGTCGGTAATAAGATTCTCACAGCATTTAAAAGGGAGAAACTTTATTCTAAAAACAGTGGTATCTATTAATTGAGAACATTCTAGAAATATCTGAGGTACAGTGATTTAGATATTTCCACACAAAAGCTTCTAAAACGCTGTTTTTTGCAGGAAATATATAATTATTTCTGTGGATAAAAAATTCTATATGTCATTGTCTTTATACCCTAAAGTTCATTGTATGTAAAGTCCTTTTTCAGAACAAATTAAAACTGAAAATACTTCCAAATAAGTGCACAACAAGAACTCAGCTGACAGTCATTTCTCCTACTCACCAGGTGCTTTTATATATTTGTCTTTCATCCATTTTCCAATATCACTTTGTCAAATTTAAAAGAAATATATTAATTCAGTTGCAATAATAGCTCATTTAATGTATTTTACTCTCTGTGTTAACAAGGTGAACAACAGTGGTATACTGGTGAACTACAAAATTTTAAAAAAGTCTTCCAGATGTATTAATAGGATTTTATTAAAGTTGTCATCAAATGAAATGTAATGCTTTGTTAGACTTTTACATTTTAATTGTTTAAAAGTTTATAGCATAAAATACTACACCTAATGTGGAATTTAAACACAATTTGAGTGCAATTACTGTCTCCATAAGAAAAATGAGAAATCTTAGACCCCAGATTTTGCTTCTATCACCAGTCTGAGTGATTATATACTGTAAGTAATGGCTTGAAAAGCTAACCTAAATACTGTCTTTTATCTGTTCATTCAGTTCCCATTAGCTCCAGTGGAAATCCTCGGGGCAGAATTTGGTCTGGTATTTCCATTTTCCCTTTCTTTTCAAAGTTAGTGAAGAAAGGAGAAGATAGGTGTTGGAATTAATTGATGAATGAAAGATGAGTGTTTGAAACTGGGATACCTTCTATGCTGTGAGCCTCTTTGGATTAGTTCATCTCTATTGAAGCAGAAAGCATACTGCCCAGCTCTTTCTAAAACAGCAGAACAGTTTTTGCTGGCTTCAAGTTGAAAAGGAGTAAATAATGTTACCTGCATGTTCACCCTCCATCATAAGGCAGAATTTAGAGCTCTGGAATAAGAGAAAAATACAAACAGCATGAGGAGGCAGCAAGACTTATGGTGAATTATATCAAGATCGCTATAGTGCTCTGTGCAGTAAACTTTCGTTTTCCTAGAGTTTGTGTGCCTGATGGGTAGCTGGTTGTTTTACACTGGGGAGAGGTGGAGGGTTTTTCTGGTACTTCAAAGTGAGCAACCCTGTGAGCACTATTGGTTGCAACACCACCACAGTAAATTAGATTATTAATTACGTTTATTGGTATTAAATTAGTCGGGACATGCATTTGATACAACTGTGAGCATGGAAGGAAGTCTGTTACTTTGTGCATAAAGTAACGTAATTAAACCCAAGATTTGGAAAACGACATAATGGTACTCTCTCAAGCTGTGCCCTACATAAGCACCATGACATGGGCGGGTAGAATAAAATTTTGCTTACAGTGGCGCGGAGATGTTGAAAGTCAAATGATGCCTCATCTCCCTGAGCTGGAAAGCTCTTCCGCCTGGAATTGTTCTTCACTGAAGAAGTGTGTGGCCATGTGGGTAGGAATTGGTGACCCCCAAAAGCTGATTTCCCTCAAAACAATGTGTCACTCACAGGGAAGGAAGCAGACTGGGAACCCTCTCTGTGCTTTCTTGCAGAAGGAATGAAATAGTTACTGGTGTTGACATTTAAATTATCATCATCATTGACATGTTGTTGAGATAGATGAGGAGAGCCAGTAATAATTCAGATTCATTGCACACAGCGCTCTGAATCCCATATAAACACCTCTACACTGCTGTTGTTTAATCACATTTTTAGCTTTTCTTTGCAAACGTCGCCAAGATCTGTCTAAAACAGTCAAGAAACACTGCTATTCTGTGAATCCCAGGCACATGAGATCAGAAGAGATACTTGTTCCATCTCATTATTCCCTTTTTAAGCCTTTTGCTGGAGCTGACTTGCTCGGTTATTTCTGCACATCCAGTAGTCTCACTGTATTCTGTAAATTGGTGCAGGGTCAGATTGATGTTGAATCTCATCATCATCCAGCAATTTTTTTAAATCTTAGAACCGAATCTCATCAGCAATTTTTTTAAATCTTAGAGCCATCTCGTATTTCTATTTTCTTTTTACAAGCATTTTCTTTTCTTCTGAATATGGCTTTGCCTTGATGTAGGCATTTTATTTGATTAACTGTTGGATCATTAACTTTGATTCATGCAATAAATTGTTAATAGTGCAAGATTTTTTGACTGCTTTTGCTGAAACATTGAATTTTCTATACTTTCATGGTTATTAAGCTTTTGAGTGACTTTTTTGTATTTTCTTTTTACAAGCATTTTCTTTTCTTCTGAATATGGCTTTGCCTTGATGTAGGCATTTTATTTGATTAACTGTTGGATCATTAACTTTGATTCATGCAATAAATTGTTAATAGTGCAAGATTTTTTGACTGCTTTTGCTGAAACATTGAATTTTCTATACTTTCATGGTTATTAAGCTTTTGAGTGACTTTTTTGTTATGTATGGAACTAACTTCAGTGGTTTGTAGTGCCTTTTTAGTCAGGTACTTTGTATGTTGCACAGGCTGGTAACTTTCTCTTCCTTGCTTTTGCTGTGCAGGACTTTGGGACAGAATGCAGATAATGAAAGAAATTACGATCTGGAAAATGATGTGAACTTGGCCAAGTCTCTTCAGCAATATCTTAAATATCTTGGTATTCTCTCCCAGTCTGCAGCTACAAATTTGCATCCAAGGAAGACGAATGATAAAGCTTCTGTCAAGGTAGTATTTTTAATGTGGTTCCTACATTCTGTGATTTTGACTTCCTTCTTCTCTGAATTCTCCTTATTTTTCAATTTTCCCTTCTGTTTCAAGACCAGACATTGTTTCTTACTGCCTCCTCCAATTGATTATCATAACTGCACTAACCAAGTTCTCTCTAAATGAGTTGAGTCAGCTTCAGCATTGTAAATGATAGAGCTCTTCTAATCTGGAGCACTTTAACTTAATTAGGGACAGATTGTATGTGAAGAAAGAGGAAGAGTGGGATAAAGGTGGTAACATCTTCACTGGCTGATCTGAAACCCTTCTTATAGCATCTGAATAGCTCCTCTCCAAAAAGCTGGCTGAAATACCCTGTGAATTCTTGCTGGTGTTTATGGTGCTTAGAGTACAATTAATATAATCTTTGAGCAGATTTTGATACTGGATCTGATGAATTGTGCCTCAACATTTCCTACTTCTCGTTGATCATAAAGGAAGCCTATCGTGACCAATTAAAGTTCATATGTATACATTATAAATATATGGATAGCTAGGAAGATAAATAACAACCATTAAATCCTGAGTATTGGTTATGTTAAAAAAACACACAAATGCCTATTTGAGAACTAAAACAATTTTTTTCTTTCCTAGAGAAAATCTGTCTCGCTCTAAGGTGGAGCTTGATAAATTTATAAAAATGACTGGATGAAGGGGTTGCATATGACAGGCCCTTATAGCCCTATATCTTTTGCTCAAAAAATGTGTTTATCCAAAGCACTCTATTATTTTAAAGAAATAGGCTGCTATAATAGCAATCCTTTAAAAAAAATTGGTATGTGCTATTTGCATGAATTCAGTGTAAATGCAACAACCTTAGCTAAAAAATATACTGAAGTTTTAGGAAAAAAATCAGGTGAAGGAAAGTGTCAAAGCCAAACTGCTAGTTTTTTCCAGGAACTAACTCAGAGACACAGAACTGCTGCAGTGTATCTGCAAGAGGAACTCCCCACAACAGTATCAGTTGTATCAACTATTTAGTCACGGTATAACTGAAATGTTATTACTCTTGTCAGAAGCCGCAAGTTTCCAATTTCACTGATTGGCATATATAATACTTATGATTTGTGACGTATGTCATTAGGTATTAATCTGGGGTAAGAGAAGCTTGCAGGCAGTGGCAAGGCAGCTTTGGGAATGGATGGGTGACCATCTTCGTGGTACCTTTCCTCCACTCTCTACTCATGGGCGCTGACTGCAGTGAGGATGCCTTGCTTTGAAGCACTGCCTTTCAGAGACAAGAAAACTTGCTCAAGAAGTATTTCAGTGGGTCTACTGCTGTCATGCAAGTTCATAAATAATCCATATGGCTGAGACCTTCTGTGGGGAAGCCTGCTGTGATAACACCACCCACCAACCTTATCGAGTGTTGCCATGGAGATGGGTACTCTGAAGCCTGGGGGAGTGAGGAGAAAATCTGGAAATGAAGCACGTATAGGAGCAAACTGTACACTTCTGTTTACTAAGGAGCATTTTAAAACAACAGACATTGAGTCAGATGCGTTACCTATAATTTAAAAGAAAAAAAAAAGGAAAATTATCTTAAAAATTAGTAATCAATCATGAATTTTAAATGATCCTGGAGACGGTTCCCTATCCTCTGCAAATCAAATGCAACATCTATTCTTTATAAAGAAAGAAGAGGGACACTGTATTTGTACCATGATTCATTGAGTCATTAATGAAATAACATTTAAACAAAAGAGAAACCAGGATTTTTGCTATTTCAGGAAGCAGAAAAAACCATAAAATTTAATAATATGAAAAGAGTAGGAGGGAAAGTAACTGCAAGAGCTGCATTTGATATGGTCATACCACTTGAAATTGAAAACAGCTATCTTACGCACTTTAATTGCATGCTTCAACAAAATCTTGGTACCTTATTTTTGTATTTAATATATGGATAAATTATGAACCCACATTAAATAATTGTAGCAAGATCTTATCTTTTTAACTTTCTTGTACTTTTCTGATTAAAAATAAGGGTAAGGCAGAGATACTTTACTTAAACTTAGAATTGCAGCTTTTGGGCCTTTGCCCTTCTTAAAAATAATTTTCTTTCAAGTATCTATTTACCTCTGTCACTTCATTCTTGCTGTCGGGGAGTAGGAGATGTAACACTAATCTGGTTGCTTTGATACCTTACCTGCTATGAAGTATAGCTGAATCTTGCAGAAATGTAGTGCTTCTAGGCAGACTTCCTGAGTGGATTCTGATTTGTTCCAAAACTGTCATCAGAGGACTCTGGCCAAGAATAAAACAAAGGAAGAAAGAAGACAAAGGGGCCTTAAAATATTTGTTATACTCCAAAAGTGTTATTTAGTATCTTAACATATATATTTTTAATCAAACTGGTTGACAAACTTTTGGTCTTTAGTTTTCCTATCTTCCACATGTATTACTAGAATAAAACTACAGAGCTTCAACATTACCAGGTAGACAGCATACATACAGTTATGCATAAAGTTGTAAAATAAGACACGGCAAAACCTGAAGCAGGTAACTCTTTTCCTACTTCCTTTGTTCAAACAACTGTCAGCATGAGGCTTCATGCAACAGTGACAGAAATAACACTATTAAACTTAAATCATGTGATGGACCAAAATTCCTATAATGTCTATCATTTATTGCAAGAGCTTCTTTGAGTGATTTTTGAAGCCCTTGAAGTTCATCACTAACTTAGAATTTTTTCTCAGTATTTAGACAGTATCTACTGCAGGCTGTAATCTAGCCAGTTGATAATGACTCTGCCAGTGGATAAATAGCAGTAAATCAGAAGATTTGGTGGGTCTGTTTCCTGAGGATTACAGTTGTAAAGAACATTTCACTTTAGTTCAGCTGAAAAGAGTTGTTCAGAAAATGGGCGGCATTTGTTACTTCAGAATTAGCTACTGGGTTTTTGTGTTTGGGTTTTTTTCCCCCACTTGGGCTTAATGAAGGTTTTACCATTCAAAAAATGCTGCATTATCGGTCTTTGTGATTCCTTTCTACCAAACCTGGACTTAGTATGGAAAATATCACATAGCCAGGCACAAACACATAATGAGAAAACTTGGTTTATCTGTGGCATTTGTTACTTCAGAATTAGCTACTGGGTTTTTGTGTTTGGGTTTTTTTCCCCCACTTGGGCTTAATGAAGGTTTTACCATTCAAAAAATGCTGCATTATCGGTCTTTGTGATTCCTTTCTACCAAACCTGGACTTAGTATGGAAAATATCACATAGCCAGGCACAAACACATAATGAGAAAACTTGGTTTATCTTATCTACTGAGGCAAGAAATGCAGAGGCTTCAAATCATGTGTGAATTCCCGTGCTCTTCTACCCTCCAGTTAGAGCAAACTCCTCTCATAGAAAAAAAACCAAACCAAACCCAAAACCCTGAAAAAACCACTACACTGTTGACATTCTACAGAAACTGAGCAGCAGAGTTTTGTTGGGTTTGAAGGGACAGCACATAGCTGATATTCCTAAAGCTAGTCAGCTGTAAAAGGCAAGCTTGCTTGCTTTGCTGTTGATGGCCCTGCTGGTGAGCTCTGTATGAGCGTTTGCATAGCAGGGCATGTGGGAAGCCTTGAGGAAATCTTTAAATAAAGGCAGTGGAAAAAGAAAAAAATAGCTATGTCCACAGCGGCTGTTACAACAAAGCAAAAAGAGAGGCAGCAAAAATGATCAGTATGGAAACAAATACTCCTGTTGTCTACTTTTCACCAGCCATTAGCCAAGGCAGTGAGGAATGATCTTACATTATAGTTTTTTAAAAAGTCCAAATGCCTGCAGTTGAATAGTTACAGGAGATTTCAATTATACTGCTTTCATCTGACTGAGAACAATTTGTTAGTCATCACAGAAAGAGAAAAGATTTGAAATGTGATCCAAATGTACTTAAAAGTCTCAAAATCAGGATGAAAATAAAAATAACTCACCTGGAACTGCTTGTTTTTTCATTGAACGAGCTATCATTTTTCGCTGGAACTGCTTGCTTTTTTCTTGCACTAGCTATCATTTTTACATATTCTCTTGCTTTCTGGTAGCCTGACTTGTGAATTTTTTAATGCCTCAAATGCTGGCAGAAGTGCACTGCTTTGGTAACATAGCACTGCGCTGGGCTTATTTCAGACGCAGTGGCTATAACAGGCAGCAATCGTGTCCACTGCGCCACATGGCCAGACAGCCTCTCCCTTGCACTTCTGATCTCCCAGCTCCACTCTGGGGCTGGACGCTCCATCGGCTCCTCTGGGAAACCTTCCGGACTGGATGTAGGGATAAGGAAGTTGCCTGCTACACTTATGCTAGTGCTGCATTCCTTGTTGCGGGGGTCTCTGGTTTATGCTTTAGGTTTTTAGGGCTGGAATATGCGTGTAATTGCTCTTATTCTTTCATCTTGACTTGCCTCTGAGGTTTTCGAACATGGGTGCTACCTGCTACTGAGGTCTTCCTCAGGCTGGTGTGCCTTCAGGCCCTAGTATCTAGTGTAGGGAGGAAGAGGGAAAAACTATTATCTCAGAGTCTTCAGGGAGTTTCATCCATTTTCTGCTTTTTCTGTTTCTCTGGGTTTTACTTACTTGCATTCATTTTTAAGGTAAACTTTATGTATAAATAGCGTGATTGCAGAAATCTCCAAGTCTCGGGTACTCTTATAAGTTTTAAAGCAAAGACTTTGGAAAAAACCAGAATCTTTACATCAAAGCAGTCTCTAATAATGTTAAAGGTCTTTGCAGAACCATGAAGAGAAAAAGAAACAGAGAAAGTGGCCGGTTAGTGGCAGAGGGGTATGGTTGGTTGTTAGATCAGCAGTACAATGGTGCTGAAAGGGGAGAAGGTGCAAATAAAACCTGTTGTGGCAGAGTCAGTTTGCTGGAATGTAGAAGGGTACGAAGGTTAGACAAGGCATTTGATAAAGCTTATATTTTAGTCCTCGATATAAGAGGGAACCTTCCACCTATTTTCCCCTTTCACAT